AGCACCTTATCGTCTGCTTTGTCCTTTTGCCCCCTCCGTCGTCTGCTAAGCTGCTTACGTCACTCAGGTACCTAACTTCACTCACTTTATGGGAAGCCTAAATGTGGACTCCAGTGATAACAGATAAAAAAAGAACAGTTGCGTTTGTTGAAGTTCAACGGAGGGTCAGGCGCCGATTGGTCGTTGTCCCGACCAGCACACTTGGCCCCTGCGGCCGGCTCACATGACCTGACGAACGCCCGTCGTCGGGGCGTGGCCCTCAGCTGAGTAACAAACCCTTCGTCAGTCTCAACGATGATCATCTCCCAGGATATACGCTTCACCAATGAACAACAACAACAACTACAGGTATATCCGTTGTCTACACCGCTTTTACTACCATTTGGCTTCCATACCGTCGCTGCCATTCTCTACAGTCGACCCTGTGTTGACTCAACTTATACTTTTCTCTCTATAAGCTCGTTCTTTCCTTACCTCACTGTGTTTTCACCTTCACTGTTGACAAACTGAAGAGGAAGTAAGTCTTGAAGTGGATTTCGTCACGTAACATATGCATCCTCTCGCTCGGCGTTTTCCCAGCGGAACAAAGAACGCCCTCGGAAATCCCTCAGCAGCCGCGGCCTTTCTTTGAGATCTGCACCGATCATCGGGAGTGCGATTTTTGACCCCGCACGACCGCGTTCTATTTAGGGAAATCCCAAACAGCTCCTGTTGTCCCAAGCAAAAATAGCCCATAGACGTTGGGTACCACCCTTTTCGGCGTTCAAACGCCAAGCTTCTGATCTGGAAATCTCTGGAAGTGACCGATCTCAAGGTAGCGTTGCGAAATATTACTACAGAAAAGGTCATTATAAGTTCTCCAGGGTCATGACTCAGCCGTCTCATCATTTCGTGGCTTTTTAACCATCGCGTTACTGGGCGGAAATAAGAAACCGATTAGAATATTGTGGCTCTCCCCTGTTTTTACTTTCCCATAGATGTTTTTGTGAGTCTTTAATGTCGTCTGCGACAGTCAGTGCCGGCACTCGAGTACCGAGTCGCACTCGTTCTCTTTTCACAATAACACTGTTGTGGTCAACACGCGCCAGCGACACGCCACGACTCACGCGACTCCCGTCGCGCGAAATCGCCGTCGCTCGCTGTCGCGTCATCGCGTCATCGCGTCGCGTCCCTGCTCTCAACAACGATCAGCTGCTTCGTGCAAGCACAAGTGCAGCGGTCGTCTCAGGGACGTGCTGAACATCTGCGTTGGTCGCCAAGTGCTATAAACCACGCTCCACACACCCGAGTGCATACATTCATTCTGCCCTTTACTCAAACATCATCCCTAGTAGGTTCCTCTCAAACATGAACTACTGATCAGTGTTGATTTTCAGCGGCAGTTGGCTGACAAAATCACCAACTACGCGTCGCTCGATGAAATCAGAAGCCTGTTGGTTTGCGGCGCACAGGTGAGTGCTCTTCGATGTTTATATTTCCATTCCTTGGGTCACTTTTTGAAGTTCACGCAACCAACTTGGCTCAGAATAGGTACTGAATCTGCTCGCCTCGCTATGACTCACGTTTTCAAGTGCAGGCAGATCCCGGCTGTCGGGGGCATATAATCAGTCTGTGGTGTCCATGCAGTCCTAGACCATGATGAGGCCGTCGGGGATGTTCTCAACTGCACGTGAGGGCCATTTTACTTCTACCAGGGCTTCCATGATATCGATAAATCAGAGAGTGACAAGTTGCTGTTTGCTTGCGTCCTGTCACGTCTCGCTGTGGTGTTTCGTGTTTTGGAGAGCGAATGACCTTAGGCCAGTTTATCTTTCAAACACAACAAATCTGCTGCTTGGTGCTATGTCTACTGGATGTTTTGAAAAACAAATCGTTAGAAATGACTCTTATTTGATTAGGGCAACTACTCCTCAACCCCCCCCCACCTCCTTGTGAATGAGTGCTTTAGGTTTGTCTGCCAATCTGTGTTCCTTCTACACTCACGGTCAGATAACGTCACCCCCATAATCCTGTATTCTCTTATCTCACAGAGGGCAGAAGAACTGCAGTGATGAGACGCCGCTTGCACTACCCCACCGTTGCACCCTGGCCGATCAAACCTTTCATTGGTCTTTTGGGCACAGTGCACTTCGAATGGTAAAAACAGTGGCTCAGAAAGGCCATTTAATTAGTCAAATGAGAATAATGTGGAATTGACCGAATGCATTTTCGTGTGCCTCTGCAATTCCGAGTTGGACCATAATGCACGGCGTATTCCAAAGGGCGAATCACTGCCCAACATTTTGGCCTATGAACTTTGCTGATTTATCGCCAATGTTTTCAATTTTAGCCGGACGGTGAAGTTACCCGTGGACTGACCTGACCCCTTTACATTACGCTTGTTTTATCAACTACGTTGGTGCTGCGAAACTCCTGCTCACTAGGCTAAGGTGAGTGTTCAGCTGCTTGAACGAAATGCCTTTTGTGAAATTTCAAATTCGTCATATTTTTTGTTGTAATTTTTGAGCTATGCATATGTGCAGGTGTTCTTTCGGAAATAAAAGATAACGGCCTTCAGCTGGTGCGGACTGGCGAAAAAATGTACTGCGATCGAGCTCGGGAAAAAGCCTAGCACGGTATATCTGGGGATTTATCTTGAGGAAACTTCTTATAGGATGTTTTTCACGTTGCTTCAATTTGGTTTATTGTTTCAAGATCCCAGCCTGGTTATTTGGCGTATAGGGGGGGGGTGGAAAGAAAGTTGATAACCAGCTAATATTTATAGATTGGTTGGGTAACAGTTAATCATATGTGATATTTTCGTGTTTTCGGCTTGAATGACGTCATCGGGACGGGATTCGTTCAATTACGTTCAACGCCTCCGTTCTGGTTTTGTTGGTGGTAAGGCAGTAGTCTCAAGTGAAGCAACTCTTTCAGTATTAGGCGAACGGAATGGTTTTTCTCCAAACAGAACCATAAAAAATGGAAGAGGAGGGAGAGACGAGTGAACTACGCGTTTTTCCCATTTTCACAAATGTGGCAGAAGTAGGTAATATGGAGGGCAGGGCAGGAAGACTGAGAACGAACCGTTCTAGCGGAAAGCAACGCTCCTCGCCGTGCTGTCGTACAGCGAGGTCCAGTGCGCTGCGAGCGCGCGAGCAGCGAACAGATATTTAACATCTTATGGGTACCGATGCGCGTGATGCTCGTTCGCGCTGGATTTTATTCATGTATGACCTCTCCTCCATCGGACCGGCTTCAAGAATCTCATAGTGTTTGACAGGGCTAATGTGATCATATTGATTTCAATGAGAAGTTAGCGCAGGCGTCCATTAGTGCGGAAGTTTCTGATCTCACATGTCAAGTCTCGAGATTGGTTATTCTTTACTGTATTTATTATTATGATCGCTAATCGTCGCTCCTGTCTCGATTTTTTCTACTACCCAGCATTTCTGAGGACTATACTTTGCTGTTGGCCTTTGTTGTGGGGCCATAAATTTCGTAGCGGCTGCTCATGTGACCGTTAAGGTTCACGGGACGCCCTTCATGACGTGTCTGCCTACAACTGTATTAATGTACTGAAAAGAGTTTAGTCTGTGGTCCGGCGCCGCTTTGTATATTTTTTAGGGTTCCCTTCGTGCAAGCGGGGTGTTTTATCATGAAATAGTCATTTAAGGGATGAACTGGTTATGTTAGCTTTCCTCCTGGACTCCTTTTTACTAATGGCAGCTTAAAGGAGTGATTATGATGTTTTTGTTGTTACTGCTAAGTGGAAGGATGACATGGGACTCCATTAGAGAACTCGATGGGCTCTAACTTCAACTTGAAATCACGTTGATATGAGCCTAGGAATCCCCTCCCTCCTGTAATCTTCTTTCTTCCACCATTCTTTAAATTAATAGGAATTAACCTTTTTCTTCCATTCAATGAGTATAATTTTAATTACTATCATTATTCATGGATAATTCACTCAACTTCATCATTTCAATAAGATATTCCTCCCTTATCCTTCCACAACTCACACTTTTTCCTGCAGGTCGACGCAGTTGACGAAGTTGGTTGCTCGGCTCTTCATCTTTGCGCTGAGCACGGTTACTACAGAATGATCAAATTGCTTCTCCAGGTAGTCAGAAAAAAATTCTATTTGGCATTTCCTCATTTCGAAACTACTGTTCTTACAGTATACTGAAGCTGTGCAGCAGTACGAAACACCTGTGATGGAGGCCAATGGAAAATATCCAAGTCGTGAACACATCGACGAGCCGTTACGACTTGCTATTAAGGTGAGCCCTATTTTGAATTTTATTCGTGCATTTTTCATTATTTTTTATATTTTGAAATAACTTATAACATCATTGAATCAAATGAAAATCTCAACTTCCTACTTGTTTGAGACTTCAAAATTCAATGCAGAAAGTACACAAAAGTGTGCTGGGAATAAATTCCCAAATGTTTATTTTTTCCAAGCGCAGCTATACCTTGGTCATTCTTTTGGCCTGAAATTATTTTTAAGTTACCTAATTGGTTGATATAACTAACTCACTCTTCTCCGCCTCAATTAATACGAGTTACCACTTCCGAGGTCGTTTTGAGCAAAAAATTGACAAGCTACGCGACTGGACCCTCGAAAATCGCTAGGCTGCCGATTAAAAATTGCTTCGGGGAGTAGTCTAAAAAGCGACTTAGGCCTGTGTCAGACTTTGTGAATCCAGCTGTTCGGTAGTAGCGACTCCGCGGACTCCTTAATAGTTTGAATATGGCGTTTTCCGACATGGATGACTCAAAGAGTTGAGCTACATAACTCCAACTCTGTCCCGAATTGCGGTCGAGCTGAAGGCAGTGGGAGCAGGAGAAAGTTTGGAGGGGGAGAGGAGGGGCAGGGGTAATATGTGACTGTATCCGCGTCTGCTGAAACTCATCCCAGCCAAGGCAAATGCGACCCCTTGTTGAATAATTCTTGACAGCAAATCACCTGCCTCTAACTCTGAATTTCAACATTTCATTACCTAGGATATTTTCTTAGAGCGATTGTGTATCATTCTGTTACATGAGCAAAGGATGGTACTTTGAAAGTTGTTAAGTTGCAGTAAGGTTGCTTCTCGCTAAATTCGGTCACTCCTTCAAGGTGGCCATTTCCAAAGCGAAGGGCAGAATAACGACCCAGTTTTGGCCTACTCAGCATATAACTGCAGCCTTAATTAGCACATTACTGTCTTCAGTTCTCACCTGAAAGCCGAATGCGTGGCGCATTTCGAAGATAGCCATGAGCGGTAGTTCGTTTTTTGGTTGAAGAAAATAGGATGTGGTTTCAAGAGTTCTTCAGGAACCGCTATGTGCCGGGGAGCATCTGACTTGAGTTTGCAGCATTGAAGCAATTTTCAATAGTTTATACCTAAAACACATTTTTTACACTCCACATTACTTTTTTCTTGTATGTTATCCTATGAATCTGCCTCTCATTTGTTCATTGTTTACCAAGTCTCCATCACTTTCTTATCTTAATCTAATTTGTTCAGAACGGTCACTACGAGTGTGCTCGTCTTCTTTTGGAAAACGGCGCCAGTCCGAACGCCATTTACTTTGATGGACCGGAGATCACCCATGTCAGCCCTCTCGACACACATTTCATCGCGCTACTGGTTCGTTTCGAGTTATGACGTTTCCAGTATCACACTTGATATATCATCACGGTTTTCGTCGGCAGCAATCAGTTCAAGAGTTGAATTTGCTCTGTTTAGCTCGAGTACGGTGCTGATCCGAACGTTTTTGATCGCAAAGGCCTTACTCCGATCATGAAGGCTTGCAGACTGAAGGAGAACGGAATGGATGCAATCAGGTGGACAAATTTTAGAGTACTCTAAATCAAAAATAAACTCCTCCGGTCAAAGAACATGGCTAAGGCTCAGCATAGGGCTTTTCTTACTCCTTCGGCCCACTCTTTCGTCCATGCCATTACGCCTTAGCTTCTTGGTGCCAAATTCTTATGGTGGAACAAAAAGCAAAGCGCCTGAGTCCATTAACCACCGTCAAAGCCTAAATCTATCACATTGAAATCCCTCTTTTTCCTGAAGATTCAGGTGCGTGGCGCATCTGAAGTGGCTGGTCAGTATCTATAATATGGGGCGGTCGCTTTTCTTAGATCTAGGTCTTGAGTTACAGATTATCCTCTGTATTTTCTTTGTCAGTTATTTGTCAATTTCAGGATTCTGCATAAGTACGGCGGCGACGTTAACGCTCAGGCTCACCCACGTCAGGATCTGCGCACTCCATTGCACTATGCGCTTCTCAGTGGTAGTGCCACGCTCGTGAAGTTCTTGATTGAGGTAGGCCACTTCAGGATCTCAGAATCTGTTTCTGTGCCAATTTCCAAGCACATTTTCTCAATACTCGTTCGATCAATAGTTTTTCGTGTTTGTTAGCTCGGCGCCAACGTCACGATGCCGAAGGGTTACAACAAGCCGTCGATCATCGATATCGCTGTCCTCAAGGACGATCCAGAACTTCTCAAGGTAGGAACCTTTCCTTCTTATCGGGTATACATTCAAGGAACATGTGATTAGTCAAGTGTATTCGGGTACTTCCTTGTGCATCCGTGTGTGGGAGTATTTGTGTATCGTAACTGTGTCATCACTACAGAAAGTCACAACAAAGCCATCCCAGTAACAAGTGATAACAGGATTGAGGGTAGGGGATAACAGAGAGTAATAACAAGTGATAGCTAGCGAAAGGAAGTGGTCATGGTTTATAAATGGGTTACCGTAAAGAGGAAAGGGAGCAACAAGTATGGTTGATAATGATACTGCACTGCAACAGGCAAGGGTCTGAAGGCGTGCTAATTGACAAGATAGAGTTAGCTATAGAATAAGCGGTAATAGTTCTTGAGGTGGTGAAAATTATTGTTCGGAATTCGCTCGTGCCATTCGTAGTGATTCGCACTCAGCGGGAGCGGTTCTAGGAGAAATAGGAATTAGAGGTGGTAGTGAATGACCTAAAGGCAAACCCCGCGATTAATCTGGTGTTAAGAGCGCTTCGTAGTGATAGCTGCTGCGGAACGATCTGAAAGTAGAGAAGAAAGCAAGAGAACTCTTTGGGAACGCTGAAATTAAGGCCTTAACCTTCAAAAGGTCGGATGTGGTACGATGGCGAGACAGGGCGATCAGAGAGGTCAAAACGCGAGAGAGCACGTCGTTTGAGAGAGCACGCTGATCTCTACATCAATGCACGCTGATCTCACCACCTCTCGCGGTGGGTGGGAAGCGTTGGAACTTGGGTCGATGGTTGCAGGCCCGTAAGGATTAGCGCCCTAACCGCGCAATTTTTGCGACGAAGCTGGAGTGATCTAGGTAGTTACAGACCTCACAATTTCCTCCAGCGAACCGACCAATAGACGGGCTATCCGTGAGTTACCCTTGAGAGGCAGTAAGTGGCTACGAACAGACGTCTTTGCTTCCCCATCATTATCAACCGTCCCTCTTTGCCCCTTTCCAACAATCCCGAAAAATCTTTCTGGATATGAAGCCCTTTTTCAAAATGGATTTTTTTTCATGTCATAAAGGCAGCGAACGAAACTGGCAACGTTTTTTCTTGATTTGTTCTGGAAATGCTAAAAACATGTGGAAGCCAGGGCTAGTGGTCGATCCCTACTGAGGACGAATTTTTGCATTTCTGACTTCCACTTTCATGGCCTTCATGTACAGTAGCGGTCAAAAGTGTTCGCCAAAACGGTTTTTCGTGCTTCTCTTTTTTTGCCAGAAAAAATCAATGGTGGCCTCAAAAAATTTTCTTTTGAATATCCTGATTCTTTAAGACTTGAGGATATAAAAACACTAGAAAACATAGTATATCAATTTTTGGAGGACGTTGCTCAAGCGAGAAAAAATAATGCACCGAAAACCGTTCCGGCGAACACTTTTTGACGCGCACTATACTGTCTAAGACACAATTCAGCGAACAAAGCGTTTAGACGTTCCGTCCCAGTCAATTTTTTTTACTTGAGTGGTGCTTGCTATCTCGTAGCGCTACAGTACCCATGTTCCGTACTTTCCCTCCATTCATGAACTCAACATCATCACCTTACGCATATACTTAGCAAATAAGCTGACCAAGAAAATTAATCGCCTATTTCTTCAGATCATCATAGATGCCGGGGCTGACGTCAATGCCATTCATACCTACATCGGCTCAGCTCTTCATCTTGCTGCTTGCTCAGGTAAAAGCGTGGTTCGAGAACTTTTCAGTCTTTGACCTTCTGTCCTTATGGCCTTCACTCCTCCTGGATGAGATTACGTTTAGTAATTGTTTCTAAGCCTTTCTACTACCAAATTGCTGCAGCTTGTACAAGTGATTCTAAAAGGGACGAAGTTATTACGCGATGTAATCCCAGAATGTGCTTCTCAAGGAATCACTTGCTCCTCTCCCGCACCCCCCCCCCTCTCCCCAAGGATTCATGCTCACCTTTTGCCCACAATCTCAACTCTGGTTTATGTATCTTCTTGAAGCAATTTACTAGTGTTCATGTGTTCATTTTAGTTCTCGAACATCAGTACGAGATTCTTCGTCTTCTTCTTGAGGCGGGAGCGGATCCTAACATACAGCATCGCTTCGACGACGGTTCCCAGCTGAAAAGTCCCTTTGTGGAGTATTTCCGTTCCAGGGACCGAGGTGAGACCCTACATAATTTGAGCCATGGCGAAAATGGTTTTTTAAATTCAATAACTATTTAAGGTCGATCCACGCGTCGTTCATTTGTTGCTGTCGTACGGCGCAAAAGTGGTTATGCGCAGTCCTATCAGCAACACTCGCGGTCAGCTGAGAAACGTTCTGCGTCTGGCGGCGACTCGTGAACAGCCCCAAGTGCGTCGAAATTTCCAACTGGATTGTCAATAGTGTGGCTCTTTTGAACTCAGCCAAATGCTCGGATTTAGTTCCAGGTTCTGAACTCAATGCTGGAACTCGGCGAGGACTTCGACGTCAACGCCATCGATCGCCTACCCTGCCACTCGCTTTGAAAGGAGACATTTTAGAACGAGCAAAGTAAGTAAACGTCACTGAATAACAGCAGCCGGACAAGTGATTTTCTATTTGCAACTGCCGCCGTTCACGAACAGTACCGTAACGTTGACTTCTTTGCAGGAACCCCGCTTCGTTGCAACAGATCTGCCGCCTTAGCCTTCGTTCTATGGTGGCACCATTTCGACCGGATGTGGTCTCACGTCTGCCGATTCCAACCCATATGAAGGAGTACGTGCTTGGCAGGTCTCACTAAGCCTGCCCAACCCATGAAATGTTGTTTGCGGCCAATTTCACTCCTTTGCAATGTGCAACCATCTCGCCTTTCTCTCCCCCTCAAGTCATGTCGTTCGAAGTGTGGTGTTCACTTACGGCTATTTTGCTTTGTCGAGCGGCGCGGCCTGTCCGCCTGCTGAACTCGCTGGGTTTCGGGCTTTCGACGAACGAGTATTTTTTTAGAATGGCCACGTCTGCGTTCAGTTTATTTCAAAGGTCTACCATTTGTGTACATACGATTTAGCACCTTCATATTCCTAGTCACTTTCGAACCTTTCGCTGTCACAACGTGTCGATCGGGTAGATTCGAAACTCATACCTCACTTGCGAGTCGTTGAGCATTTACTGAATCATTATTCTTTGTAAATAATGTATTTTATCATGCATTGTGTTCATAATAACTTGTCATTTATTTGGCTATTGAGACTAATAAATATTTGGGAACAAAGTGCTAATAGACTACGACACGTATGCAGTGGGTTGGGACTACATGGCACATAGCACAGGTTGGTCTAGAGGTAGCTCGTTCGATTTCTGGATAACTGATGTCTCCCATACAATAAGGGCACACGTGGAGCGTCTGCGCCCGAGCATCCAACTCGCTAGGTTGTGCTTCGTCCCTGGGCCAGCAACTTCCACCCTATACGAAGTTCTGACCCCGGGGTCGGTTAATTGGTACCAGACTTGTCTGGGAGGATAAAAACACTGACTTGTAACATCGGCTGGCCCCCGCAAGTCATTGTATAGGCCACATCGCATTCAAACGCCACTACGAATGTACAAATGGAAGTAGAATGCGTGCCGCATCCCAAAAAGGGATTGATCAACGGCAAATGCTTTATCCTTTATCCTTTAAAACCCATTCGCGACCGCGCCGGTTTGCGCATTAGCAGGAGAGTCAGGAGATTTTTCTTCAATAAAATTTGAGTGGATGGAGATTCCCCGTGCCCAAGGCTGGCATAGATGAATGAGGGTATGAAGATTCTTTTCAGGAAAGAAAACTTTCCAAATTCCATTTGAAACACGGCAGCCACCGGTGGATGTCCATTGTCACGAATGGGTCAAAGAATGAATTCACGCTGGAAAGACAACCCAGTCAAATTAAAGCCAAGAGTCAGGATTAGGCAACCAGCAGAAGTTCTTCCCAGGGTGCGATAGTGGGCTCCCAAGCACTGAGGGCGCGACACTATCGCGACCCAAAAGTGCGCGGCAATGGCGCTAAGGCCTTGCCCGCCGCGCTGCCCGCGCTGCCAGCGCTATCAATCCAAACGCATGCGTGCCTCTGGCGTCTCTTGCGTACGGACATATTTTATCATCGCGTTCTCCTTCTCGCTCGGCGACGTCTGTATCTCGCCGTCCGTAATAGTGGGCCCGCCCCGGCCTCCTAAGGGAAAATTTAGTGTTTTCTATGGTGCTTTTTGCCTTTTCTCCACACTAATGTTTCTCATTGCACCCCGTGCCTAATGTTTAACAAAACAAACGCATCAAATTCAATCCTGACTCGTGCCTTTAACTTAGCGATGGTGAGTGGTACACGAAAGAAGGAAGAACCATGAGAAACGGCCCAGAACCCGAGAAATGGGACCCCTTCCTTGCCCGTTGATTTGAGCATTGATGCGACTCTCATCGCTGTGCCCTCTTCAACACTACGCTCTCACCTATCTAATCACTCGCCACGTATAGACCTGCGGCGAGTGATCAGATTGGGCGGGGAGGATAAGTGGGCGTGCACTGGCCCACCGCGCCAAGATTGAGCCTTAATAGGTCGCCGAGGTCAACTCCTTCGGTGCCAATTGCGCTTCAGTCCGCACCCTTAGGAGGTCCGCGGGTCCCTCAACTAGGTGAATTACTCCTTCTTCGACCTTCATTCTAATCGTGAATTCGTCCTTTAAAGTCACCACCTTCAAGTCACGTCAGCTGCAGAAGAGCTTTCCAAATGGTTTTGCCGTTCAGTGGGTAATGCTCACATAGCTAAGCGGTACAGTATATTCTCTCTGGCTCGAATTTACTCTTGAGCATATGGCACAGAAAGCAGGTTGACCTAGAGGTAGCCTGCTCAATTCTGGATAACCGTCGTCGCACATACAATAAAGGTACACGTGGAGCATCTGTTATTTCATGTGAATGGTGAGCAATCTTGAAGGAATCCTTATCGGGAAAATCATATCCTATCCCACCTATAAACCACTGGCCCGAGACCCATAATTCAGGAAGAACGAAAAAAATGAAATTGTTTGTTTTTTATAAACAATTCAGAAACCCCGGAATGTAACAAAATGTTAAGGAATGTAACACGTTCGAATTCCTGCCGTACATCTGTCACAGTGTTGGAGACGGGAACGACTCCACTTGTTCTAGGAGTGCCTTCACTAGGAACTCTTAGCTTTTTCACCTATGGCAATAACATTCGCTTCTCGACTGCATCCTATATATTCTATCGATCGCTTTTGTCCTATTCTCCAAAATCAAGCGCTTCAACCCGATTCTTTCATGTCCCGCTTGAGACGTGGCCTCCCCGGGGCGCACTTCTTTCCAAGCATTCCCTTGTTTCCACCCGACCTACCGTTTATAGTATGCGGTTTTCGTAACTCTGTTTCTCTTCGGAAGCTAAATCTTCCTGCGTCAAACATGGTAATATCTCCGGTGATAACAACCAACATACACTATTGTTGAGAAAGAATGTAAGAGTTTTCTAGGAACGATTCAATTAACCCATTGGCGACGGCTCGATTAGGGATGCAGCAAGTAAAAAAAAACCTTGCGCAGGTTTCAAATATATTGCCATAACATATTAATCTGGAAAGGAGATAACATGGTCAATGCATATTTAGCGAATGTCTTACTCGAGAGTTATTTGGAAGTGATTTTCTAAATTAACGCCTTGTTATTTTCGAAAGTCAGGGGCGCAATGAAAAAAATCATTTTGCTTATGTCGCACCTCAGCGTTTTTTTTTTCGTCGCAGAGATTGTCGTCGCTGACGGAAGTTC